TTGAGTTAATGGACATATTTAACTCATCATTACTGGGGTAAGTCTATATGAAGCCTCGTTTTTCCACTGTTCTAGACATGAAGAATACACTGTTTGCATTACAGTTCCAAAACAAAAGAAAAATCTCCGTCTGCATGCAAAATTGTCTTCTGTTTGCATACATAATTTACTATCTGTTAAGGTATGGTGATGATATTGTTCAAATATTAAGTCAGTTCCCCAGAGTAGAATCCGCAGTGTTCAGATTCTACTAGTTTACCGTTGTATTTTAGGAAACAGACGCTCAAATTAAATCTCAAGCACCTACGATGAGGGGGCGACTATGTTTTAAAGAAACCGTGTTGACACAGGCCTTAGTTTTTAAAGTTCAATTGAATTTTTATTTTCTGTTATTTAGATTATTTGTTCTATTTTATCGTGATTTATATAACTTATTTTGTTTGTTCTGATTAACAAATTATTTAATTTGCTATATTTTAGCTATTATTCGGTAAGTTATTATCTATACGGTAAACTGCATATCTGGTATGTTAGTTGCATATACGGTATGTATCTGGTATGTTAGTTTCATATACGGTAAATTGCATATCCAGTATGTGTCGTAAATCCGATATTTGTTATACCGGTATTCATTCACGAATATTTTCTCTAACAACTATGGCCTGGTACTCAAAGGTACACCAAACCGTTCACAGTATTTTGCCAATCGACACCCAGAGTTGTTGCTTTTGATGCTGCTTCCTCAATCATCTTATTTGCAAAGAAACTTGATATCTTCTTGAATGGGCAGGTCGAAAGATAAACTTGGCCAGCTTTTAATTTCTCAACAGCTATAGTCTTCTTGGATGCAAGGGATGCATAAATCTGGGTGGGTCCCAGTGCCTGAGAAGCGTGCCTCAAGGCCATAAGCAAATATACACCTTCATCCATGTGGGACTCGAACATTGGTGGAACGGTTTGCTGCCAGCAATCACAATTAAGTGAAAAGCGTGTTTTTCTAGCTATAACGTTTTATCCCATTTCCTTACCAAGATGGTGACACATGGAATGATCTGGACTGTTGGCTGATCTTTTGGTTGACTCTTAAACTTACTCAGAACGTTTTCTTTTGGATCATTCGAGAAACGCTCCATTTGGTCTGCCTTGTGAGAGAAA